TCCCTGTACTTTAGTGTGTACTGGCTGGTTATGAAAGCTGCCTCTACATATTAAGCTTCTGGAGAAGTGGGTATGAACAGTTGTTTTTCTTTTTACTGCCTTTTAGAAAGGTGGTTGGGGGGCGGTAGCACTTGCATGACGGTCTACTCTGTTTCTTAGGCTAGGTGATCTCCTGCCTCATCTCTTCCCTTTTATATCCATAAATTGGCTCCCACTTCCTTCTTTACTCCCCACTTGCTTTCTATAATCTGTTCTCGCTGCCTTCTCTACTTCTCTAGCCAATCCAGCTTGGTTTCTGGGTGTTTTTTTTTTTTTTCTTTTCCTTCCCGTCCCTCATTACTGCCCATCCATTATCCATTCCTGTCATGTGAGTGGGAAAGGCTTAGAAACGTCTGTCAGGATTGTGTTGCTGGCCATGCCAAACCAAAACCCTAGTATGACAAAGCACCACTGATGTTGGCGTTAAAAGACTGTAATACAAAATAGCTTTATTACAATTTTTGTGTCTAAAGACGCACATAAATATGCAATTGTACACATACAAATGTTCCAACACAACTAAAACATGATGTGAAAGTAGCTGCAAGAGAGACCTCTGCTGGAATGATCTGGGTCCTATGAGAAAAAAAAAAGCGCTCAAGCCAATGCGTGAAATAATACAAGAGATATACCGCACAATGAACAGCACATGGTGAATAAACTCATGGCAATGTGGTGGGCGATTGTGATACGCGTGGAGTTTGCTTCCCTACGGATGCCAGACCCTTTGTCACTTTTTCCTAGAGGGGTTTTCCACCTTGCACTCAAGTTATTTAGCATAGCATTAAAGGCTTTTTATGCATGACCTATGTCCGTTTATTTCATTGTGCATTTGGCAAAATGCCGAAAGTGCCATTTTTGTGCCGATACATCGGCTCCTCCCTGCTGGGTGCTGCTATATGTCCCAGCGGGGAGGAGAGAAAGTGTGACGGCCGAGCGGGCGGAGAGCACTCAGCGGCCGGCGGTTCTCCTCCCACACCGCTCAGCCTCCTATCACAGTCCGGCAGAGCGGTGTGGCGGTGGAGACAGCCCGCGCTGTCACAGGAGGCTGAGCTCCCCTCCCTGCACTGCCCCGCCGAGCCGCCTGTTACAGATGTCGGGAAGGAGAGAAAGTGCAAACACTCAGCGATCGCTGAGTGTTTGTACACAATTGAGGACATAGTATGTTGAATATATCCTCAATTATGAATGAATGGCAAGTGATCTACATCACCTCCTGTTCATTCAAAAAAATGTGGTTATAATAAACACACTCTGTCCTCATGTTATGAATAAACAGGAACACTCGGTATCAAGGATTCCTGTTCATTGATAACGGGGAATACAGAAAAAGAGATTGAGGACTTGTGTCCTCACTCTCTTTTTCTATTTTAAAAGGGAAATATCAGGCGTCTGTTTAGACCCCTAATATTTTCCCAAAGCTCCTAAAAGTAAAGTAGAAAATAAAAATATTAAATGAATTAATAAAAAATATTAAATTAAAACATTTATAAAAAATGAAAATAAAACATTTTCGGTTCCGGCCTGACCCATATTTTTTTATTTTTATTTCGGTTTTGAAATTTCCATTTCGGTGCACCTCTAATTTGTGGTGCAGACTTTTTGTCATACAAGGGATTTTGGCTTAGGGGGAACGCTCCAAACGACCACCACATGTCTGGCAAGCTCAATGGTGTGGGTTCATATGGGAGGTATGCCAAATAGAATGTCTCTCCCTCCTATTGTGTGCTTATGAAGGTGATTATTTCTCATTGTTGGTCTAGAGAATAGACATTCCATTTGTGTACCCACAGAGGAGATTTAAAAGTTCTAACCCTTCCTCACTCTAAAGTGAAGGTTTTGGCTTCAGGAGAACTATTGGGAATGTAATTTTTTTTCCCTAATAGTTTAAGCTGGCGTGTGATACTGCAGCTGTCTCGCACCGGCTCTATAGCTTGAGAACTGAGCAACCTTAAACTGCTAAACATTCTGCTCATGGCTTCTCCCTGCAGAGAGTGATGACAGTCAGTCCCTGCTCCCCGCATGCCCGGATCCTCCCCCCTCCCCTCTGTTCATCCAGCGCTCACTGGAGGGACAGACAGGGGCGGGGACAGCTGGCTCTAGCTCTGACAGCTGGCTATGCCTCATCAGGCAGCCGGGTGGATCCCAACAATATTGTCTGGATCCTTCCTGGCTGCAGCACGGCTCTGTCCCACTACATGCTGACATTGGTTCACGGGAGTATATTTCGCAAATATACTCCTGTGACCCAAAAGAGAACTAAAGCCTAAAATAAGTTTGGCTTGAATTCTTTTAAGTTATTATTATTTGTCACCTGTATAACACAATATAAAGCTGTCCAAAAATTATATAGTGGGTTCTAGAGAAGCCTGCATCCACTCCCAAAGTTACTCAATTTAGGGACATGCACACATTTTCTAGTTTTTTTATTTAAAAGGTGTGTTTTACATAGTTTGTTAAATCTCCAACCCCTGCACTTGCTGATAGGACTATGCTTAGAATTTTACTATGTTGATCACATGCATTTCTTGTTCTCATTTGGCGTACTTTCATTGTGCGCAATTGGAGACGGGGAGTACATTACATACCCATTTTTTGTTTCTGAGACAAAAGTATGAGACCATGAAAAACAAAATATGAAAGTTTAGTTTATAGCATGCTGAGCAAATCACAGTTCTCATTTTGCTAGCAATGGGGAAAAGCAAAGTTGTAGTCAATACCTTTTTAAAAAAACAAAACTTTCCTCCAGACCTTTTATACACAAGGATCATTATCTTCAGTGGCAACATAAGTGTTAGGACAGAATACACGCACCAAGGATGCGTTTTCAGTCTTGACCTCTTCACAACACTTTACGTGTGCCATGCCCAGTCTTAAGTATGTAAAAGGGAAGGCAACCGCTGAGTCGGGGTGCAGACAACCAGTACCCATCTGTCTTACGCATTCTCTTTAAATCTGGTGAAGGGACAGCTAATGTCAGAGCAACATTGGCCCAAAACTCCTTTGACAGAAGAATCAAACTTTGGCAAGCTTGTTGTCCTAAATATGTTGTAGAACCGTATCTTTTTGTGCCAGTGTATCCTGTGCAAAATGTATAAATGAGAAATTAACTAATAGCTATAGATTATTTTTCTACACACTTCGTATTTTTTTGCTGTATTTGTAATTTTTTGTGTTTTTACTGTTTTGAATACTTAATTTTTGTACCATTCTTTAGCATTCTTTAGTCTGCATAATGATATGGTGCCTGTTATTCTTGTTTACATAACTGTATTTTCTTTTAAAGGTTTAAGATGTAGATCGTCACCAAGCCTCAAAAAGAGCCCTGGAAACTGCAAGAATAGCACTTTTCAGCCACGTCTCAGGTCGTCAGCTTCATCTCAGTGTTTCCACTCTTGCCATGGAGCCCAGTGTTCTCTTCTTTACAGGCAACAAAGGCCAGTGAAGTTTGCATTGCCTCCAGGGACCATTATAAGAGACGTACGCATAAATCTGCACAATTCCATCAAATGTAGTCGATACTCTTCAGCTGCAGCAACCCCATGTGAAGTCCATGGCTGCAAATTGGGTAAAGAACCTGTGGTGAGACTTAGACGGCAAAATGCAAGTCCTGATCGGCTAAGGTTTTACCAAGGCTCTGATAATGTTCTGCACAAATCATCTCAAACATCTCTACATGGCAAAACGGACACTCTGGAGAAAGACGCCAAAGATCATACTTTGAATTGTGTACTTTTTAATGAACATAGTGTAATGGAGGAGTGTTTAAATCCTGAATGCCCCTCAGCCAGTACCAGCGTGTGTGTGGATGAACTGGATATAGAGGTCATAGAGCACCATGAAAACTGTGCATCCAATTTCATTTCAAACTCTGACAGACTGAACGCAAATGGTGCCCATACCTCCATGGTTCAACCAGCGTTGGATGTTCTTGTATCTCCTTTAGACTCTAATAGATTATGTTCCAATGTGGTCTCGCAAATGCAGGAAGCTGATAACTTTCCACCAGCTAGATCCTTACCTGAAAGCACTGTGAATCTAAATGAAAATTCAAGCCGTTTAACATTTTCAGATTCTATGTCTCCTAAACAGTTTGGTTTAACACATTATGTCACAGTGAACTTGAGCAAATTCAGAGTTTCAGGGCCTGAATATTCAAGCACAGCAAGCGCTTTCCACTCCGATATCGGAAAGCATAAGCGTAGCTACAATCAAAAGCCATTTACTGGAATTACACATGAGGCGGTGCTAGCAACAAATGCTATTGAAAGTCAGGTCATGGATGCAAACAGCTCCTTAACTGAACCAGTTGGTATCAATGTGAAACATAGTACAAGAACATACACAAATAAAGTTTTCTCTTTACAATCCAGACCCATAATGTCTAAAGGCCTAAATGAGAAGAGCGCTTCTCATAAGAAGAGGCAGACTACCCATCTAGACTTTAATGGGCACGTTAAAGTGACGGGTAAACATCAAAGCAGTAGGCTTGAAAGGCACCACTCTGCTCCTCATAAACTGCTCAGCATGGAAATGCAGTCAGATCCCAAGTTGTCTTTAAAGCCATATGTAGAACTTAGTCTAAACAACAATTTAAAAAGAAAAGTCTCTGTTTCAGAAGCACAAATGTGTCCTGTGCCATTTACAGAGGGAGCTTCTAACAAAAGTGTGTTCATCTCCCCACAGTCTGAACTTTTGACTAATAGCAGCAAGAAAAAAAATGTGACCTTTAGTCCTTTTACACCTTCCAAAAGACTGCGTCTTGTCGTAACAAATGGGTCTATAGATCTGGACATTGCATCCTCAGCAAGTGATGAGTCCAACTAAAAAGCCCAACTCCCAATAAAATATCATTCCTTTTCCGTCAGTGATTCCAAAGCTTAGATAAAGAAATTGCAGGATTTACAGCTTTTCCGGGTCTAGGTTATCATCCCTTCCCAAGTCCCTCTTTGAATTAACACACCAGTTTGCCTTAGTCTCTAAAGCAGGTTGACATCAAATTTTATGTAATGTGTCTTTAACCTCTATTTTTAAAAGGTACAAAAAGCTTTTGATGACCATCTCCGTGTAGACATGTGTTGCCCAAATTGTTTATGATTTGCCTTCATTGAATATGCACTCCCATTAGTTAGCTATTTGTGTCATCCTGGGTTGGTAATCTCTATGGTGCTATGTCTATTATCTAAAAGGTATTTCCTTTTAGGATTAGAGACTTTTTGCCACTAAGCATTGCTTTTTATGACATTGCAATGTTTCTGTATTGTATGATCTGTATTGTTTTGAGGCATCTTTTGTTGTAAAAAAACAAAACAAAAAACACAGAAAACGGACTGTACTAAATGTGGTACCAGCAGGATTAAAATCATTCTAAAAGCTGAAGTTGTGTCACTAATGCAAAACAAAGCCTTAAGCATGCTAAAGTTTGTATTTTTTTCTTTTTTTTAAACCTAGAAAATAAGTTAAGTATAAGGTGGGGGTCAACTGCCAACTGCCATATTTTCTGAGCTCATAAAACAAATTACTATTTTCTAGATAGATATTTTAGGTTAAAGAAAAGCACAGTAAATGTGCAACGTTTTGGGAGATCGTTGGGTAGAATGGTATTGTGTTCTGTTTGATGCCACTTATCCACTTCCGGGCCACAATAGGTACATATACGGCGGCCCGCAGAAGTGGTTAAACCAATAACACGGCTGCTGCTGCTGGTGTCGTTTTAAACAGCCGGCGATGGCTGTTAATGTACAAGCGATCCAGTGTCTATACAGCCGCAGGTTCGTTTGTATGGTGAGGCACTGTGTATTACGCTTCTTTGGGGTCCCTAGGTGACGTTAGCCTGATGTTTTCATAAAGAGGACCTGTCCCACCCTATCTATTAGGGGGCTTGTTGGCCCCCTATGTAATATCAATAAGGTAAGTTAAAAAAAAAAAAAGATTTTTAAAAGCCTCTCCCACATGCATGCACATACATACGCAAACATGCGTCGGTGCACCTACGTGCAAAAACGAAAATTGCAATTACAGCAATAATTCTAGAGCCATTAATCATTATTTGCACTAAACTGATGAGCGGTAAAAGCGTTTACAATGTCCCCTATGGGAAATTTGGGGTATTTAAGTTTTTTGCAGCTTCACAGGCTAACACATTTTTATGGCTTGACATGTTTGGTATCTTTTTACCCGACGACCCCATCTTTTATATTTTACCAAAAAATTGGGTATTCTATTCTATTCTGTTTCTGTGCACTAAATTTAATTTTAGTGCATTTTATCCTAAAAGGATCTTGAAATCCTTTTATCCTTAGAGGAACTTGAAATTAGGCTAATTGAAGAGGACTTCGACATAGTGGGTATAGCGGAAACCTGGCTGGACAGCACGCATGACTGGGCTACTAATATAGAGGGGTATAACCTGTTCAGGAGGGACAGAGGTGGGAGAAGGTGGGGGGGGGGGCTATGTAACTATGTAAATACAGGTTTGATAAACATTTGCGCAAATGCCATGCGACATAAAAAATTGCAACTACTGCTTTCAGAAAAGATATCATTGTGTGTTTGGGGGTCTGAAGCTGTTCTCTAGCCAAAAGTTCAGATTATTTCGTGTGTGTGCAAATGATAACAAATTGCTCCAGACAGCAAGGGGTTAAATTATTTAATTTTAGTGTGTCTCTTCTTGGATGCTTGCTCCCCATTTGAATTACAGACTGATGTGACAATGCCTGCATGTTGAGCCTGTGTCTATAGACTTAGGAGTTCCAGTACGGATGTGGGTGCTTGAACAGGATGCTGCTGGGAAAAGGTTAGGACAGGAAAGCAGAACACC